AACAATTATTTCACTTTTAATAACAAAGGGTTCTCACAAACACATAGTTGCCCCATGAGCTCTCTCCAATTTTGGTGGAATATGTGATGGATAACCTTCTTGATATTGTTATTCAGATGTTGCCATAGAATCTAATCCTCATAAACAAATATGTGGACGATCTTATCGTTTGTCTTCCGTATGAAAGGGTAGATGATATTGTTGAAGTTTTTAACAGTTATGATCCCTACATCCAGTTCACCATCGAAAAAGAAGATGACAATCAATCAGTTCCCTTTCGGATTCAAGAATGATTCGCACCAACGACAATATATCACTCGTATACTGCTACAGGAAACCAATTTCTTCTGGAAGGCTCCTGAACTTCAGTTCTTATCATGAACTTAAAATAAAAATTAACCTGGTGAAACAAATGAAGAACAGGGTAATAAAGATCTCTGACAATACTTTCCATCTTTCTAATTTATGGAAGCTTTCAGTCTTATTCATTAATAATGGCTATCCGAAGTATTTGGTTAACGTAATCTTGTTCAGTTCTCCTCCGAATATTTTGCCAATTGTGAATAACAATAGTGAAAATGAAAACACTGTCCTGTCTAACCCCACGCCCATAACTCTTCAACTAATGAGAATAACAGCACTACAGTGGATGCTTCTATTTCCAGAATTAATTATGTTGTCTTGCCATACATCAAAGAATTAACACCAAAATTGATCAGGCTGTATAATTCCTTTACTTGTCGTTTTGCCTGTAAATTAGTGCTCACAGTCAACAGTTTGTTTTCCAAAATGAAGGATAGGGTTCAGTTGATTGATTCAACCAACACGGTCTAACATATTAATTGCAATAACAGTAATTTTGTTTATATAGACCAAACACCGAGATCACTGACGGGCAGAACCTCCCACAAAAGTGACGCCAGATTACATCCTGAGAGATGTGCTTTGGTATCACATATTAACACCACAAGCCACTCTATGAGCTATGGCAGTATTGAGGTTCTTGACACAGAAAAAAAACTGTCAAAACGTTTATCACTAGAAATGTCCCACATTTTCATGACAGATCATTGCATGCATAAAAAGGCTGATGGCAAGCAGCTCAGTGTCATTTATTCCTACCTGTTGAATTGCGAAAACACTTTCGGCTAATATGAACTACACTTTTTCCAGAACAAATTAAATTCAGCATTTTGGTAATTAGGATGAGGTTTTACCGAGCGTCGCTCGTATACATTATGCCCATTATGGCAATGATGTTTACAGTTCCATATTCCGTCGCGACAATCACATGTCATCTGTCGACGCATCATCTTTCCGCTCCGACCATCTTGACCACGTGAAGCGGATGTAGATGGTTAGAAACGACGTTCCCGGTTTTGTCCACAAAATTGCTTCTCGTTAAAAAAAAATGTATTATATGTTTCAATTGTATTGATTTGGAGTGTTTACACCTAACGATGGTATCCGTCGTTATCAATAAGCCCAATGTGTCCGTCCGATTGGTTTTATAATTGTAACAAGTGCTCCAATCCCCGCGTTCGTTTTGAAACACCATTTGGCTGCAACCTCAACGACGAGTAAGTTGTTTGACAATTTAAATCTTTCCCGTATGGGTTGCTAGCATTATAATTTATTGTGTTTCCCGATGAAGGCTCCATAGAGAATTGCCGAAAGCTAGAGATTACCGTCAAAAGAGTTAACTAAAGCCTGAAAAGTTTGCCAATTTCCCAATTAACAATTAATTGTTTATATATATATATAATCAGGGTGGCCCATCCATGTGTGGATGGAATATTACTCATAAACAAATACATTTTGGAAAAATCTATTTATGGCCTAATTTTGACAAACATATCAAAGCTGTGATTTTTTTAATGGAATGCCTAAAATTTTATTGCATATTTGGATAAACCAATTCAGAAGAAGAATATTGATATTAATACTATGGGGTTTTGGTAATTAGCTACTGAGGTGTAAGGTGTTTTGTCCAGAAAAACCGTCCACTTCAGCAACCCGTCAATCGGCCATTTTGAAATTTGGAGTGCGGAGTCTTGTGTCAAAAAAAAATTACACACCTCAGCTTTTATCTTATTTGACACTTTACCAAATTTTCATTTTTGCTCATACAGGGTGGTCAAAAACGCGAATTGTACTTTTTGTCAAACATTTCAAAGGCATGACCCTGTATATTTGTGCAAGTTTGGATTCAGTTTTTTATAAGCTTTTTCTTGGTATAAGATTTGATTCAGATAAAATCACTAGATCTTGAGTTATTAAGCTTTTATTAGAAGAAAACACCAAAATTAAGGAAAAGAATCACATCATCCATGAAAACAAAAGACAAACAGTGGGCTAGGTCCATATTGCCACTAAGAGTACAGATTTGACGTAAAAACTAATAACAATCAGAACAGTATTCAGTACAAGCGCAATAGAGAAAGACAACTATACCAACAACATAAACCGACAACTATCACTACTCAAGACCTAATCTACAAAAACTGCTCGAAAATATCTCCACCATGTTGAATACACAGCCGTAGTCTTTGGATAAAGTAATGCAGTCAGCATTCCGATTGTATCCCTAAAATGTCTCCTCGTGCTTAATAATTTTTAATATGTTCGGGTGTACTGATATTTTTAACATGTAACGAAGGTATCTGTCATTATCAACAAGCCGAATGTCTCCGTCCGTTTGTTTTTATACTTATTACAAGTTCTATCTTCTCTACGTTTGTTTTGAAACACCTTGTGGCTGCAACCTCAACGACGAAATCCTGATGAAGGCTCCATAGCGAATGCCGAAAGGTTGATTTTATCGTCAAAAGAGTCAACTGAAGCCTAAAAATTTGCAAATTTCCCAATTAACAATTAATTGTATTAATTGTATATATATATATATATATATATATATATATATATATATGTATATTAGTGATGCTTATTTTGCTCTGCTTTGTTCGCTGTCCTACCTAAAGACAATATCGTGCTGATGATTGCCAATAAACATGAAACATTGCGAAATACGGTTGGCCCTCTGTAGGTCGGACATACGAACGCAGTATTTTTAGTTGGATATCGTGAATATTATATAATAGTATGTAAGGTGTGCATCCGTAGAAGACGCCACCAGATAAGTAGATGTCTGTAACAACTAAAGCAGTTAACAGAGAAGATGTTAGGGAATATTTTCCTGTAACTAACGATCAGATAGCCATATGGAGTATGTCTTAAAAATAGAAAGATACAGCTGCTGCTCGTGCGGTATGATATGTGAATTCCTACAAACCTTAATATTTTAAAACCAGTTGTCGAAGAATAAGACAAAACGGCATGATATCCAACGTAGTATCTGCCAGAATCAATAATATAATATCAATTTCAAGTTATGAATTCAGTGGAATTCAATCCAATATATTCAGAGGCGGAATCCTCAGTGTCGGTATCACAAGAGAACAAAAGTATTTGCTTATATATATATATATATATATACATATAGAAGAATGTCCGATGCATTATAAATTTGTAAGTATATATTTTACTGCCAGAAGTGCTAATCACGAAAACACCAATTTCCATGAGAAAGCTTAAACATTGCAGTTCAATCCTTTCACCTTAGTAAAAAGAAAATGACTTTATCCTATTTTACTGAGAAGAAGTTGCTTGCAAAAATAGAACCTACTAATCAGACCCGACAGCAAGATGCCCAGGATTGAGTAAAAACACTTTCAGTGGCTTTTTACTTTGCGTAAACAGAGTGCCGAATCAAATTAGTGCAACTTGATACCACAGGACACAGGACCGGGATAAACTTCTAAGTAAGGAATTCTCACAAAGTCGTACTTTGAAGGACGAAAAATTGCCGCCCGCGTATAGTTCAAAGACTAGTACTTCAGGAAGGAATCAATAGTACCAAAATATTATCACCCAGCGGGTTCATATCCCGTCCCAAGACGTTTCGATTGATGCGATCTTCAATCGCTATCAAGCGAACCGTAGTGAACCGAAGTGGTATTATCACCAAAATCATTAACCCTGGACATATTTATGAATCGGGACGTAATGATGGGCTCACTTTCGCGGCAAAGACGCAAAGCTTTATGGCTTTTGAGAATCTCTGTGAGTGACGGCAGTCATCAGGAAACAAAAATAAATTTCGTTTTGCATGCGTCAGGCATTTAGCTTCTTCGCACAATACTTTTGATAGTGGGAAAAGTGTTTAGGCAAGCTTTCAATTCCCACTATTAGACCTAGACGTTTAAACGTTCTATACCTATACAAACGCTGACTCGCTACTGACCCTTCTTTTGTCCATAGATTTAGCTTTGGGCCGCGTACTTCGGATGAAATATTTCATCTTCCCGAAATCTACTATACACCAACCACACTTTTGAAATACCTTTAGGCTTGAAAACCACAACGAGAATAACTTATAAAATCAAATGAAGTCATTCTAAATGGATAAACCTATTAATGCTTCTCGGAATAGGATGGGTTGGAAGAAGGCATAGTCTAGGTACAGAAGTATTCAATTTTTGTCGCTAAGGCCCGATTTGACTATTTGGCACAAATTAACCCATTAACGCCCAAATTAAACTTGAACATGGAAACGGATATTATGCATATAAGGTAGGTTATTAGGACTAAAATAAAAACTGAAGATCATAAAAACATATATATTTTATTATTTTTACCAAAAAAATATGTGTACTCATTTGAGTACAATGGGCGAAACCGTTTATTTTGTATGATGTAACTTGAAGCAGGCACGTTTAATACGTAGTCTTGACGAACCCTTGAATGACATACTGTACATTGTAATTGCTTCTCTAGCTTCGCAGGAAAATGTCCGAATTTATGAAGGATTTCATTTCTTCTTTGGTGTCGAGTATTTTGAGATGCATATAACATAGACTGATCGGCAATACGTATCATCAAAGTAAAGTTCAAATAGTTGTACTGGATTTAAATCCTGTATCTCTTCCACTAGTTTATCCCTATTGGCATAAACGACCAGAAACGTCTTGTGGCATTCCATTTGCCGTCAGTTGCTTTTCGTCCAATCCCTCCTCGTCAGTCAAATAACGCGCGTCTGGAGGCAAGACCACAACATCATCGTTATCTTTTAAATCATCTCGAGCATCAGGCAGAAAATTGTAATACTCGTATGTTTTAACAGGATCATCAAAAAACGGTTTATACATATCTAAAACAAAAAAAATAGCATTAGTCGACTGATAACGAATTTGCCCAGTGTACAGTCAATCTTGAACATACATTCTAATTACATCAAATCAGTTAAAGTAATTTATGCCCGGCAAATCAAACAAACAACCTTCACATATACATAATATAAAAAGATTATGTTTATTAGATGGTCACCTCAATAAAAAAAAATTATGTAAAATCCGAACTTACCTTAGATCAAATAAGCAATAAATTCTATTACTGTGAACAACGACACTCTCACAGAATTTATGAAAAATGGCTCTTGCGCCCTCTCGCATGTACCATCTACAAATGTTTATAAAAGGCAGTACTTCTGTGGTTGACTCAGAGATGGCTCTGATAGGAACAAACACGAGTGTACTCGGGCGTTAATGGGTTAAATAGGAAGGCATCTTTGAAGGAATAGATCCAATGAATTTGACCGATTTCTTGTAAAATGTCTATCAAGCTACAATACAATTTGTGTAAGATGGTCTCATAATTCTGATATTAAACCAAGAAGTACTTCATGTACCACAAGATTCAGCTTTTGTGTCCGGACACAAAAGTTGACGCAAATTCCATCAATCAAACAGGATTTGACGCCCGACTCGGAACATGGATCAAACTTGATACAACAGATTGACATGACGCCATTACTAAGCATTTTATTGAAAATAGTAGTGTCTGACTGTGGCTGTACAAAATTCTGCTTGATATACTGCATCACAGAATGCTTATTCTTTAACAAACATCGAGTAGATAACCAATTTACTTACTACTGTTAACAGGAAGATGTCGCGTACTGGAGGGTTAACAAGAAACAGGGTTTTTTCTCACCGTAGTCAAGTGAATTGAACATTTACTAGATGTTTGTTGAAGAATAAGCATTCTACAATTTTATTTATGTCCTCAAAGAATTTATCAAGTAGAATTTTGCACAGAGGCATTGTTAGTTTTCATTAAATCTAAATTTAATTGCTGTCATGTCGATCTAAACATTGAATTAGATTTGTCTGATATGGCGCGAATGCTTATTTTTCATTGGTGCATTATCAGATCATGGCCGTTAATAATTTATTGTCCAGACGCAAATGAAAGTATAAGTTTTTGTAGCCAAGTCGTCATTTTCACGTATTTATTGATATAACATGGGAACTAGAGGCCCATATTACACATATCGTATAATTTTGTTCAGTTTGAGATGCGTTTTACAAGAAATCGATCATATTTATTAGATCTGTTGCTTGACGGATGCCTTCTCTCGTGCTTTTTTGCGTCCCGGTTTAGTAAAATCGAGTCTAAGGAATGAAAAACTATGTATCTGTTTCAAATATATTCTGTTGCTTAAAAATTAAATATTATTTGTTAATTGATAGTTTTTACTAGAAGGTCGGTTTTAGTGCCAGGCTTATGCATGTTTTTTTTAGTAACTTTATGCTACAATTTATGAGCGTGTAGAGTAACTTATGCTTAGTATTACAAAACAAACGTTGTATGCTTTTAAAGCATACTATAAGCTACTTGCTTTAATAGATAACAAAATCGGTATTGATTTTTGGCAGCTTTTTCTGATTGGAGTTGGGTAATTTTTCCAAATTTTACCAAATATCTTCTGGGCAATTTAGGGATGTTACGGACCTGACCATCTCCAGTAAGCTTCAAACAGAAAAAAAGGAAATTAAATTCTGCAGCAGAGCGGATATCGATGACAGCGATTGATTTCCATCACGGGGAAAATCAGATGTTTTATTGCTACGTCCAGAATTATAGAAGCTGAGAAACGCGGTAGGAAAATGGGAATTACAACGACGCAAACAAAGATGTGCAGGAGAATATTATTACATATTACATTCCGTACCTCCTCCTGATAAACATCATATTCTCCGAATTTGAGATGATTACAAACCTGAAAACTTGAATGCTAATCAGTACATTGACTGAAAGGAATGGACGCTTAATTGTCGTGTCAAGACGAGTCTGAAGACCTTTGATCTGGAGCCCGTGAGATAGAAATTTCAAAGTTGGAATTCCATACCCGGCATTCTGTGTTTACGAAATTTTTGTGTACCCAGCGTCACTTAAGCTGTCAAGATAAGTCTAGAGCCACATGTTATGTCAAAATTCATCAAGTAGTTCAAGCTGAAGCCCGTGAAATAGAAACTTCACACTCGAAATTTCCGACTTAATGTCGATTTTATAAAATTTCATTATAGTCTGTGTCACTTGTACTCGTACTGCTACAATGAATCCAGACTCATCCGCCAAAATCCGTCAATTGTTTGGCCTCTAGCTCGTGGAGAATTTTTTTTAATACACACATAAGATACATACATACCCACCCGCAAAAAAACATTACCTTCAACCTGAGGCAGTCGGGTAAAGAGAATTAATGATTTTTAAAGACGATTGGAAAAAGGAGAATTCTGAATTCAGGCAAATCAAAATTTCTGGAGGTTATTGTTTAAATTTATTAGGCAACCAATCATTTTCCGAGATGGAGATGGAATGAGTTCATAGTGTTGAAGCCAGAGTTGGAGCCCCGTATGATGTGTCTTCAAGTTAAATATATAGCAACTTCATAATAGTAGTTAGAATCGCGGTTTCAATGCAGTTTGGTGCACATTTAATTTGTTCGCGCAGCGACCGAGTCCGATTATTGCGAGTCAGTTTGGAAATGGTCGACTGAATATATCTGCTATGCATGTTTTGTTAAAATTCCAAAACGGTACTTCGACAACAAATACTGATACAAATGTATTGATACGAGATACACCATAGGTGTGAATATGCAAGAATTATTACTGATGGGTTATCCTCAGTATAACAACATCGCGGCCGGCGCACGAATCGTTAAATGTAAATTGTGTGGACACCAAATATAATTACGATCGAACTTGACAGGTAAGTTCGTTTGATCGATTAATTATATTTCAGTGTCCACTTCGAAGATATTTTAGAAGGTAGTTGTTTAAAGGCCTCAATTGTGTTGGCCTATCAGCTATTGAGAAATGTCCTATGGACTTTGTTTAATGTATCTATGACACAAGTCCTTAGTTGCATCGATGTATTTCAGCAATGTAGATGCTGGGCATATCTTTTTACTGGCAGGGAAAAAAGGTATTTGCAAGCATGGTTGCACTCTAGATGTCATGGTTGCTTTGATGGTATCTGAGATGCGTATTTGAATTTTATCTGCATTGGTGATTATATTGGACAGTCGGGTCAATGATATGGTCTGCAGTCGTCCTCCTGTTACTAATCCAAGCAATGTTACTATTTTGTGTCTTAATAATTCCAATGAGGTGTCACTCAGTCCCTCAAGGTATCGAAGGACTATGGCTGGATCCCAGGTATAGCTGTATCTTGGCATTTGTGGTCGCTCGCGAGCAATGCCTCTCAGGAACCTCTTTATTAATGGGCTTGTGGCTAGGTCATCCTGGAGAATTAGTGACAGCTCTGACCTATGGCTGTTGAATGTGCTTTAGAGACGGTTTCTTTTGAACAACAATTTTTGCAGAAATTGTATTACCGTTATTACTGGCGCTCTGAAGACATCCAAATTGTTTTCTGCACAGGACTTGGACCATAACTTGTAGGTGTTGCTATATTGTTTGATGGTTGAGTCCGAGAGATGCCAACAATATGTTTGGTGCTGGTTCGTCGACTCCTTGAGATATAAAGGCTTGTTTGATAATCTCACTGCCATCAACTGTAGGTCTCCAGCCAGGGGATGTATCGAGCTGAAAGGTAATGATAACAGATTAGGGCTGGGTGAGAAGATCACAGGTTCTCCTGTGACGTATTTTGAGAGTAAAGGGTACCAAGACTGTGTGGGCCAGTCTGGTAAGACTTCTATCCCTTCTGCCTGGTGCTGTATAATCTTATGGATCGTTTTCAGGATTAGACAAAATGGGGGAAAAGGGTAAAAGTTCAGATCCCTCCAGTTTAAGGTGAATGCATCCACTGCTATGGAGCCGGGATCTTTGCGACATGATACATATTTGGCACACGTTGTGCTTATGTTGGATGCGAATAAGTCTATATCAGGCACCCCTAGATTAGTTTTTATAGAAGATAATACCTCGGCTGACAGTTCCCATTCTGTGTTTTCTTCTATAACGCGTGACTCTTTATCTGCTTCATAATTGCTTTCCGTATTGATGTACTATGCACATAGCCAAGTGTTCCTAGCTTCGCACCATTGCCATATTTCTCTAGCAAGTCAGCTCAGCTTAGTAAATTGAATGCTACCGATTTTGTTTATATATGATATAGCTGTTGAATTATCTGCTCTGATAAGGATGTTGCCATTCGAGAAGCTGCCAGCGAAGCATTTTAATCCATTGTAAATTGCTAACAGCTCAAGGTAGTTAATGTGGTTAATTTTGTCTGTTTTTAACCAGAAACCATGCGTTGACTCTCAACCACAGCAACCTCCCCATCCTGTGAGGGAGCTATCTGTAATTATTTCAAAACAGTAATTATCAGTTTTCATGTCATGATATGACTGCCTGTTGTTGTTCTCCCACCATAAAAGATTTTCTCTGCAGTCATTGGGTGGTGACATAGTGGATCCGTAGTTATTATTACTCCGATTAAGGGCTAAGTATTTAGCTCGCTCAAGTCTTTTGGTGTATAGCCAACCAAATTTGACGGCTGGACAATCGGAGGTCATTGTACCCATGAATTTGGCTAAATCTTTTATTTTACATAGTTCTCCCATCCTCAGAGTTTCTGACATAATTTTTATACTAGACTTCTTTTCCTGAGTAGTAATCTTCAGAGTGGTAGAATCGTATACAAATCCCAAAAATGTTTGCTTCGTGCTTGGGATGAGGCAGCTTTTTTCATAATTTATTATGAAACCCAGTTCCTCCAGTAACCCTACTGTAATTTTGACACTACGTGTGCAATCCTTAAACGATTCCCCGATTATGAGTAAATCATCGAGATACCCTACGCAAACTACCCCTTGGGAACGAAGAGTTTTCAA